TGATTTAGTTACCTCCACCTTTCTTTTAAAGTCAAGATTTTACTAATGTACCCCAACCTGGGTTGGAAACACTTACTTTTCAGCCTCAGCTGGCCTTGAATTTACAGTGATCCTCCTGCCTCTTCCCTGTGTCCCATCAATGCTGGTATTATAGTCATAAACTACCGCACCCAATGTTCAGTTTTTTACTATGTAGGAGTACCCTCTAAAATAATGATGGAAATGTACTGAGTACATAAACCCATGCCATGGTTGTTAACCACTGTCAGGCTTCACATAGTCTACATGATTGTATAAGCTACACGTTCATCGCCCTGGCAGTGTAAGTTTACTTACCCCAGCATTGTCATGAGCCCAGCACTGTGTCTGTACTATGTCGCTATGATAGCCCTAACACCACTAGTTAACAGGAGCTTCCTAGTTTGGCTCTGTTATAATCTCATGAGGCCACCATCCTACACGCTGTCTGCTGTCACGTGGTGCAGGACTGTGCTGCTGGGTCCTGGCTTCACAGTCCATATCCTTACATACTGAGCTCTGAGTGTCCCTCACCCAGAGGCAGATAGAAGCACTCCTGTAATTTCCAAACCTCTGGCACCTAGGTCATACTCTCCCATCTCCCCTTTGTTGGCATGAATGAGGATGTCCGTGACTAGATGCCGTTAACCCTTTCACTTGGGCTTAGAGTCCCAGTCTTACCAAGGGCTTGACCACTACTATTTTCTCCTTTTTCTAGGATGTCTTCATTTTGACCTCCTCTGGAAACAAGCAAAATAATATAACTTCATCTATGTTTTGTTCTGAGACAGAGTCTCACACTGAAATCCAGGCTAGCTTGGAACTCATAGTGATCCTACTGCCTTAGCCTCTTGGGTATCTTCTTCTTCTTCTTCTTCATCTTCTTTTTTTTTCTCTTTTCTTTTTCGAGACAGGGTTTCTCTGTGTAGCCCTGGCTGTCCTGGAACTCACTCTGTAGACCAGGCTGGCCTCGAACGCAGAAATCTGCCTGCCTCTGCCTCTCAAGTGCTGGGATTAAAGGCGTGTGCCACCATCACCCAGCAGGGTATCTTCTATCTTAAGAGAAAACATAATAAAAAACAAGGAAACAAACAAAAACAAAGAAAACTCCTACAAACCTAATAGCTTCTACAGAATATTCTCGTTTTAGCTCCTTCTAATATTTGCATAGCCGATACCACCCATCCATTGATATCCTATTATACTAGCTTATTAAATTCTCAGTAAAGCAGTGCTGGATAGTTTTTTTTTTCTAAAAAAAAATTCATTTTACTTATTTGTGTGTATTTGTATATGTGGACACAAGTGTGTGCCACAGCTTGTACATGGAAGGCTGAGGACAGCTTTCTGGCGTTAGTTCTGTCTTTTATCATGTGGGGCCCTGGGGTCAAACTTGAGTCATCAGGCTTGGTGACAAGTGCATTTACCCACTGAGCACTTCTTCCTCCTCCCCCCTTCCCTCCCCCTCCTCCTCTTCCTTCTCCTCCTCTTCCTCCTCCTCTTCCTTCCCCTCCCCATCCTCCTCCTCTTCTTCCCCCCACCCTCCTCCTCTTCCTCCTCCTCCTCCTCTTCCTCCTCCTCCTCCTCCTTCAAGACAGGGTTTCTATGTGTAGCTCTGGCTGTCCTAGAACTTACTCTGTAGACAAGTGGCCTTGAACTCACAGAGAACTTCACCTGCCTCTTCCTGGGATTAAAGGCATGTTTCCCTCTCAACTCCCAACACATTGAGCTTTCTTCCCAGGCCCCCACGTTTTTGGTTTTTTTTTGTTTTTTTTTTTTTTTTTTAAGACTCGGTCTGCTACTGAATTTATATCTCACCAATTTGGCTAGACTAGCTAACCAGCAAGCTCCAGGGAACTTCCTGTCCCCTCTTCCCAGCACTGAGATTACAGGTATGCACTGTACGATCTCCTTTTGTGTGGGAATGTGGGATCTGAACTCAGGCCCTCATGCTTATGCAGCAAGCACTGTACCAGCCGAGCCATCTCTGGAGTCTCACTATTGGGCAACTTTCCTGTTTAGTTTCTTAGTATTTGCTTCTATCGCAGACGATTCCAGCACCTTGAATGGTGTCTAGATATGGCTATGTGAGTCATAAATACTTCCAGTGTAGCTGTAGGCTGCCAGTGGTCTATCCTTTCTGCCTCTGTCTCCTCCTACTTTTCTTTTTACCTTACTGCTTCACTCAGTGAGTTTCTGTTTCTTCAACATGCCTGGCTCACTCCCAACATCTGTTCTGTTCACTAGCTGGTCATGTTCCCTGGGAAGTTCTTCCCCTCGCTTACTCCCTCATTTTCTTCAGGTCTTTGCTTCTGTCAAAAGTTAAAGAATGAAGATTGGGAAGATGGTTAAGAGGGTAAGTGCTTGCACACAACCAGGAGGACTCAATTTCAGATCCACAAAACCACACAAAGCTGGATGGGATATTGTGTCTCTGTATTCTTAGATGTCTGTAGTCAGGAGAATCCTCACAAGCTCTTAGGCCAACTAGCCTGGTGTCTTAGTTTGGATTTCCATTGCTGTGAAGAGACAGCATGACCCAGGCAACTCTTATAAAGGCCAACAATTGGGGCTTGCTTACAGTTTCAGAGGTTCAGTCCATTATCATCATGGCAGAAAGCAGGCAGACATGGTGCTGGAGGAGCTGAGAGTTCTACAGCTTGATCCAAAGGCAGCTAGCAGGAGACTTATCTTTTGCAGGGAACCAGGAGGAGACTGGAATTCCCATCAGACAGAGCTTGAGCATAGGAGGCCTCAAAGCCCACCCTCACAGTGACATACTTCATCCAACAAAGCCACACCTACTCCAACAAGGTCACACCTCCTACTAGTGTCATTCCTTTTGGGCCAAACATTCATACACATGAGTACATGAGAGCTCACATTTGGTATATACAGAGGTGAGTAATAAAAGACTCTGCCTAAAACAAGGTAGAAGGTGAAGACCAACACAGCTGGTTGTCTTTTGACTCTTATGAGTACTACTGCGTGTGTGTGTGTGTCTGTGTACACACAGACACACACACACACACAAATTAAAGAATGCAGTTATATCATTTGTAGGAAAATGAATACAACTGGAGATGACCATATTAACTAAGTTAAGCCAGTTTCAGAAAGGCAAATATTTTCAACCATTTGTGGTGCCCAGATTTTATATGTATTTATACTTATATAAACTTATATTGAACACAGAAGTAAAACTGTCTAGAGGGACAAATGAGACTAACGGGAGGGGAGAGGCAAGAAAGAGGAGAGTTAGGAGCTATGAGGGGCAATACACTCAATACACAATCTATACACGTATACAGCTTTGAGAAAGTTCCCTTCTCATTCAGACCCAAACCCTCTTCCCTTTATTTTTTTCTCATAGCACTTAATAATTTGTAATTCACACAGCATGGATTTAGTTGTTTATCCTTGCCTTCCTCTCTACCTTCTGCAAATGTTCTCAAAGCCTTAAAAGAGGGCATAGGGCAAACAGCATGTGTTCAAGTGCAGTCCCCTGATTCTGGGAACTGGATTTAGGGACTCACATATGCTGGGCAAGCACTCTGCTGCTGAGCTGTATTCCTAGACTATAGTTATTAAGTGAGTGGTTTGTGTAACAAATACATAAATGAACATTGGGAAAAGTATCCTTTGAGGGGTAAAGAATGACCTATATGTTTTCTTAAGTGAAGGCAAGTATGATAGCTATTCTTGGTTGTCAACTTGACTACATCTGGCATTTACTAAAACCCAAAAAATGGCTGGGCACACCTGTGGGGGATTTTTGCTTCATTGGATCATATGAAGTGGGAAGATCCACTTCTAATTCAGATCTTTGAAGTGGGAAGACCCACCTCTAGTCTGGGACATCCTTTCTGCTGGAAGCCTATAAACAGAGTTGAAGAAGGAAGCTCTCTCCTTTTCTGCCTGCTTCCTCTCACCCTTGCTAGCAAGTCCATTACTTCACTGACATTAGAGCCTACTTTCTCCAGATTTTAGCATATACTGAAAACTAGCTGAGATTTTCTATGCATTGACAGCCATTGTTGTCTTAGCTGAACCACAGCTTGTTCTCCTGGTATGCATGAAGCCCTAGGTTTTTCTCTACATTAAACAACAACATTCCCCCGTATTTTTGCCTACGTGTATATCTGTGTACTGCATGCATGCCTGGGGCCATAGAGTCCAAAAGAGGATGTCGTATCCTCTGGAACTGGAGTTACAGATGGTTGTTAGCCTCCATTTGAATGCTGGGAATCAGACCTAGGTCCGCTGGAAGAGCAGCGAGTATTCTTAACTGGTGAGTCATCTCTCAACCTCCCAATCACTAGGTTCTCCTCCTCCTCCTCCTCCTCCTCCTCTTCCTCTTTCTTCTAGATTTATTTATTTTATGTATGTAAGTACACTGTTACTCTTCAGACACACCAGAAGAGGGAATCAGATCTCATTACAAATGGTTGTGAGCCACCCTGTGGTTGCTGGGAATTGAACTCAGGACCTCTGGAAGAACAGTCAATGCTTAACTGATGAGCCATCTCTCCAGCCTTCCCAATCACTAGGTTCTTTAAAAAAAAAATAAAGAATTCTTTTGCCAGGTGTGGTGGCTCTCACCTTTAATCCCAGGCCAGAGGCAGACAGATCTTTGTGAGTTCAAGGCCAGCCTGGTCTGCACATAGCAAATGCCAGAACAGCCAAGGCTGTTTTGGAGACTACTGATCCTCTGGTCTCCCAAGTGCTGGGATTACAGGTATCCACATCACGCATGGCTTGGATAAATAATCTTAATATTCACACTCACTTTCTCAGTTTTCTGCCTCCCTAACAGCCCGCCCTACACACAATAGACAAAGAAAGAAACAAAGCACACTTGACTAGGATTGCCAGGGGCGTGAGTCTACCGGCAGCACAGAGGAGCCGCACCTGGCCCCGCCCACTAACGCCCCAGTCCCGCCTAAGCTCTCGGAGGCTCCGCCCCCTGCATGCCAAATGCCATATAGGCGACTGACGTCAGGCCGTTTGTTGTCATTGGCGGCTCCCAAGATGGCGTCCATCGTGGAAGGGCCGCTGAGCAAATGGACTAACGTGATGAAGGGATGGCAGTATCGTTGGTTCGTGCTGGACTACAATGCAGGGCTGCTCTCCTACTACACGGTGAGTGGCTGAGGCCCCGCTGCCGGGACGGCGAGCTACGGGGAGCCGGGGCGGGGGTGCTCAGCTGTGGAGACCGCCGTACGCGAGGTTCCCTTGTGGAGGAGGGCTTTGCGTGCGGGTAGCCAATGACCAGGAAGGAGATGCGGACTCAGCCAGTGAGCAGCGCCGGCTGGCTGATTTATGGGCCGGGGGGCGAGCCGGTGCCTCAGGGAGTGGTTCTGGGACTAGGTAGGGTCGGCTCCTGGGCGAGGTACGGGTGGGCGTAGTCTCGGTGTGGCTGGTCAGCCGAGTGGTCCACAGTGTGCGTCCCCAGCCCGGGCACTGGCCGCACCCCTTAGCTTCCCTCCAGGGCTCGAAGAGCGCTGCCTTCTCGGAGCAGTGGTCAGAGGAGCCTGGCCAGGTCCAAAGGTGACCCTCGTCAACACCGTGGGCTCTGAAATCCCGCCCGTCTGTCCTGCTAGGCTGTCCTACTCTGGGGATGCACCCCTCTTTCCAGCGGGGCGCGAGTGTAACGGACTCTGTAACTTTTGAGAGCAGAGGATTCCCTCCACGGGAGTCTTCTGGCTGCGGAGATGTAGAAAGGAAGAGATGGTGCGGTTGCCCTAAAAGTTGTGTTCTGGAGAGGGCCGACTGTTCGACTTTACTGTTGTTGATGCGAGTTAGTGGCCCAGGGTAGATGAAGTGCTGTGGAGCCTATGTTCTGACCGCCTCTTCCACCCCCTTCGCGTTAGAGATGGAACGTGGGCAGTGTTGGAGAAATTACTAACGGGGCTACTTTATTTGAGCTGTATCGTTAATAACAGCCCGTGAGAAGAAGAAAAGCACTCTGAAGGACAAAATATAGAATGTCTTTAGGAAATAATAGAAGAAAAAGGAAGAAATACGGTTATGGGATGAAGTGTTAGTGTTGATGAGAGAAGTAGGAATACATAGTTATTCATTCATTTTAAAAATATCATTGAGTTCCTGTTCTGCCGGTCTCCATTCCAGCAAGAATTGACAGCGGTGTAGACGCTGCCTCTCTTCTCGAGAGCTTTTAGTGTAGTCTAGTGGGCACCTTAATTCATTTACTCTTAATAAATTCGCAAGGTAGGTATTCATTATCCCCATTTAATGTTCCCATTTTACAGTTTTGGAATCTGAGGCTCCAGGCTTTTAAGTAATTAGCTCAAGATCGCTTAGGCAGCTGTGAGTGGTGGAGTCGGGATTCCCATTAAATTTCTCTTGCTACAAGAAGAAAAGTACATGCTGTTAGGCGGGTCTGCAAGAATAAAAGAGTTGATCACCTTTATCACTCTTTGGATATGAACTTCTGTTCTCTGTGTCTTTATTTTTTGATCAGCCCAGAGCCTCACATATGCTAGGTCAACACTTTACCACCGACCCACATTCCTAGCCTCTCTTCTTCTTCTTCTTCTTCTTCTTCTTCTTCTTCTTCTTCTTCTTCTTTTTTTGTTTGGTTTTTTGAGACAGGGTTTCTCTGTGTAGCCCTGGCTGTCCTGGAACTCACTCTGTAGACCAGGCTAGCCTCGAACTCTGAACTCAAAAATCCGCCTGCCTTTGCCTCCCAAGTGCTGGGATTAAAGGCGTGTGCCACCATCGCCCGGCCCTAGCCTCTCTTCTACATCAAATTTGAATGAGACACAAACATATTATTCAAAGCTAAATACAGTGGCCCGTATATATAGCCTCTTAATTTTAAGGTCAAGCCAGGTTAGGGTACCTAATGAGACCTCGTCTCAAAAACACAAACAAAAACAAAAAACCCCACCTCACCCCCCCAAACCAAAAACACTCAAAACCAAAACATATTACACACATACCATATTAAGATTATGTCAGATGGAAAAGGAACAAGTACACATTTTATCCTGAAAAACTGAAGAATTATGAAATCCTATAAGAAAAAGAATAATATCAAGTTTCACTACATATAAATGAGATAATCAGCAAACCCCATGGGACCTAGCCCAAATATTCACGACGGGGTGACTTCAACTAGCAGCTCTGTAGAATTTAGTTACTCTTTTTTGGTTTTTCGAGGCAGGGTTTCTCTGTGTAGCCCTGGCTGTCCTGGAACTCACTCTGTAGACCAGGCTAGCTTCGAACTCTCAAACTCAGAAATCCACCTCTGCCTCCCAAGTGCTGGGATCAAAGACGTGCACCACCACTGCCCAGCAGAATTAAGTTACTCTTTAAATCCCAAATTTGTGTGGTCTGAATCTAGGGCCATCCTAGAGAGGTCTCAAGTTAAGATTCTAGGGAGCTCTTAGCCCAGATAAAATGTCCCTTTTCCTTGTTTTCTTCCTTTCCTGTTTTTTTTTTTTTTAATCTTTTCTGTCTGTCTCCTTGTCCTTGTAGATTTAGAGTGTTTGGACTCCTTGTCCTTCTGACGAAATAGAAGTTTTCCATAGACTTCTTTTTTCTTCTGTAATACCTACCTTCCAAGATTAGATTCTATAAAACATTACCTTTGTTAGAGGAAGAGGGGGATTTTATTTCTTGATGATGGCTGTGTTAAAACATTCTCCTATTGTTTACTTACAGGGAATTGTACTATCTCGTGAAGCTAGAATGATAACCACAAGGAGAGAGTAGGAGTCAGATCGAATGTAGGCAGTGAGTTCTGTCACAGTTTGAGCGCATTAGCATTCTGATGAGTTTGTCTATATTAATGGTTTGCATGTGGCTAATTCTTACAGCCACACCTTCTAGTAAGAATATCTGAACTGGTTGTGCCAAACTTTTTTCTAATGCATTTAATTTTCAAAAGATAAAACACTCAGACAATTTAAATACAAACCCAGCAGAGTGGCTGTCAGTCAGTGTTGCCACTGAGTGTTCCCAGTTTCTCTGCCTCTTCTCCATGAGGAAGAAGGCTCTGATATTTTATCCATATTCATTTTCCTTATCTGCAATGTAATCTGCGTTTTCTTATGGACACAAGGACTTCTCTGCATCTGTGTCAGGGATTTCAAATCCCACTTCGTCTTCCATGACATTGCTGCTTGGTTCTTCATTAAATGTAAAGTTACCAAGAGCTTTTCTGGATCATTCTCAACATAGAGTCTTAAGACATACAGCCCTTGATTCTTGATTCCCTCTAAGTCAAGGGGGATTCGTACTGGCAGTACTAGTGTGTGACCCTTCCAGGCACCTGTGCTTGCAAGCACTGAGCTGGCTGCAGAACCCTGAGCTTGGTTTAGTTTCCCACAGGGCACAGAGTTGTGCCAAGTGGCTGTTTCAAGCCTAGTGTTGGAAGCTGGGGTAGTATGGGAAGGCCAAGGGCAAGCAGCAGACAGGCAAAAAGGACATGAGCTGATATGGCCACACCAACCCAGAACATTCTTGCTAGTTGTATCACATTTAATCAGGGTAGCAAATAGTCACTTTGTTCCTTGTTTCCAAAATTACTTGAGATCTAGTCTGGCTCTGTGGTTGTTGATCCTTCCAGGTTGTTCCAGAAAATTCTAAATTAAACTAGATTGCCCTTGCTTTAGAGTCAGCCTCTACTGAGAATCAGTATTAAATCTCAGGACTGAGCTAGAGTCACCGGGATTGAACTGAAATAGGTTCAGCTAAGCCTTTTTTTCAGCCTAGAACTTCACGAAAATTTACCAAACTCTGGGGGTGCAATGATTTTTTTTTAAATGAACAATTACAGTTTTTATTTGTGCATGTGTTTATGTTTCTCTGCAGGCAGATTTTATGCCACAGCACCTGTGTGGAAGTCAGGACAACTTGAGGTAGCCAGCTCTCTCCTTCCACCATGTGGGTCCCAGGGATAGAACTCAGGCTGTCAGCCTTGGTGGTAGTGCCAGCTGAGCCATCCCTCCAGCCTGGAATGATCTTTTTACTTTATTCTTTTCATTTGTTTCATAATCTCTTTGCCAGGCTGGTGGTTGAACTCACAGCCTTGTTAGGCAAACATGCTCCCCAGCCTAGTGTTTTGCTTTTGAAGGAACACTTACTGTATTGTTACAGGGACTCCTTTTCAGGTCTGACTATCCATTCGCACACACACGAGTGTGTGTGTGTGTGTGTGTGTGTGTGTGTGTGAAATTTTTGAGCCCTGGCTGACATGGAACTCACAGAGATCCACCTGCCTCTGCCTTCAGAGTACTAGGATTAAAGGTGTATACCACCACCGCATGGCCTTCAATCAGCCTCTTAATCATAATCATTAGTTATCATGTATTCTAGTGCTAGTCCACTCAGCAGCCACTTTTGTAGGGCTGACTTTGTAATAGTGCAGTTAGTGTATATGCTTGGAGTGCAAGTGTTGGTTCCTTCATGTAAGAACTTCTGATCTAGCTGAGATACCCAAATATAGTTTCAAAGCACTATGGCAAGTGGCTGAAGACATGGCTTCAGAGAATGACCAAGGAAGACACCCAGTTGTTAACTTTGGGCCTCCACACACATGCACACACACATGTGCCCCCAAACATGTGAACATGTACACATAGTGCACACACAGTACACACATGTGCACATATATACACCAAATCATTGTGACAAGGTCAACAATAGAAATAGAAATCTGCAGAAGTGTCCGGAAAAGATCAGAAGGACATTTGAACCAAGGCTTAAGAGATGGAGGTTGAGAAAAGAAAAAAGGCTATTTTAGGCAATAGGAAAACAAGAATAGACTGGAAAGCTTCAGAGCATAATATGTATTAGGAAGGTTTTACAAATTTCTAAGCAGTACTAATGTAAAGATGTATTTGAGAGATGGTAGGAGATTGAATTCTTGAAGGTATTTGGAGTCATAGGTCAGGCCAGGAGATAGATAAGGACTTACTGGGCAATAGCACAAAATTATTTTATTTTATTTTATTTTATTTTATTTTATTTTATTTTATTTTATTGTGTTTGTATGGTACATGTGTGTGCATGTGGAGGCCAGAGGGCTGACAGTATCTTCCTTGTCAAGTTTCTCCTTGTTTATTTATTTAATTAAAAAAATTATGTGCATAGGTCTTTGGATTGCATGTATG